TCTCCCAACCTTCTGTAACTTCAGCTCTAGATGATCCGCTGTTGTGGAATATCACTTTAAGTATGTAAAGATGTGTTACATTTGTTTATGCAAAGATGGATACTACTTTACCTTGTCTGCCTAAGGCACCTCATTGAATAAGAAGCTGAGCAGCCAGCCAGGTGGTGGTGGCGCATGCCTTTAATCCCAGTACTCAGGAGGCAGAGACAGGTGAATCTCTGTGAGTTTCAGGCCAGCCTGGTCTAAGTGAGAAGTTTTATTGGGGGAAGGGAGTGGGAAAAAGGAAGTGAAAGAAGGGAAGAGAAGAGAAAGAGAGACAGAGTGGGGGAAAAGAGAGGAAGGGGGAGAGAGAGAGAGAGAGAGGAGAAAGAGAGAGAGACACGAGAGACGAGAGACATAAAGCTGCCTCCTCAGGGAGAATGATAGGAGTAGGCGGGGCTTGTCTCTTAGAGGGACCTTTGCACCTGTGTAGACTAGTACCCTGGGTTGGCCAAGGTATTAAGTAGGAACATCCTGCCAGATGACAGGACACGACAGCATAATGCCTGAATCCTAAGAGGGGAGACAGAAATTAAAGGGGAATCAGGGAGGTAAGAGAAGAGCTGATGGTTATGTGAGACAAACCAAAATGAAGTATGTAAAAAAATACCAAGGGCTGGTTGTTGGCAGGACACTCCTTTAATTCCAGCCCTTAGGAGGCAGAGGCAGGCAGAGCTCTGAATTTGAGACTAGCCTGGTTTATATAGTTCCAGGATAGTCAGGGCTACAAAGAGAAACTCTGTTTTTTTTTAAATTTTTTTTATGGTTTATTTAATGTCATTGGTATGAAAGTGTCAGATCCCCTGCAACTGGATCTTCAGACAGTTGTGAGCTGCCATGTGGGTGCTGGGAATTGAACCCAGGTCCTTTGGAAGAGCAGTCAGTGCTCTTAACCACTGAGCCATCTCTCCAGACCGAGAAACTCTGTTTTGAAAGACAAAACAAATAAACAAAAATACCATTAGGAAACCTGTCATTTTATAAGCAGATTAAATTTTTGTATGAATTAGAAAATTTTAATCTCACAGGGTGGTAGTGGCGCACGCCTTTAATCCCAGCACTCGGGAGGCAGAGGCAGGCAGATCTCTGTGAGTTCGAGGCCAGCCTGGTCTACAAAAGCTAGTTCCAGGACAGACTCCAAAGCCACAGAGAAATCCTGTCTCAAAAAACAAAAAAAAAAATTTAATCTCATATCGCTGCATTAATATAATACCAGTTTAATGTGTATTCTTCTAGATTTTCTTCTTTGCCTATACATATATATTTATGTATATTTCTCTCTTCCTCTTCCTTTTTTTGTTTTGGTTTTTCAAGTCAGGGTCTCTCTGTAGCTTTGATGTTTTTCCTGGAACTCACTCTGTAGACCAGGCTGGCCTCGAACTCACAGAGATCCGCCTGTCTCTGCCTCCTGAGTGCTGGGATTAAAGGCCTGCACCAACACTGTACAGCTTGTTTTGTTTTTTGAGATAGGGTCTCACCATGATCTCTGACCTGAAGCTCACTCTGTGTAGATCAGGTCGGCCTAGACCTCACAGAGCTCTCCCTGTCTCTGCTTCCTACGTGCAAGAGAGAAGGAAAGAACCACCACGGCTGCCTTACTTTCTTTCTTTTAAAATTTTTATTTACTGTGGGCGTGTATGCATGTCACACTGTAAGTATGGAGGGCAGGGGATAACTTGCCAGAATCAGCTCTCTGCTGCCACCATGTGGTCATCCCAGGGATCAAACTGAGGTTGTCAGACTGGGTGGTTAAGTACTTTACCCTAGGACTCATCTTGCTGCCTCCAGTGATGCATATTTAAGGTAAAGTTTTCTTTAATGCTGTATTATCTGTAGACCAGGTTGGCCTCGAACTCACAGAGATCCACCTGCCTCTGCCTCCCAAGTGCAGGAATTAAAGGCATGCGCTAACAGGATGGGCACAAATTAATATTTTTAAAGTTTCAGGACAGGGACGGGTGGTGGTGGCGCACACCTTTAATCCCAGCACTCAGGAGGCAAAGACAGGTGGTTTCTCTGTGAGTTCGAGACCAGCCTGGTCTACAAGAGCTAGCTCCAAGACAGCTAGGGCTGTTGCACAGATAAACCCTGTCTTGAAAAAAACATAATTTATTGAGATATAGCGTATATAGCCCTGGATGGCCTCAAATTTGGGATCTTCCTGCCTCAAGCCCCTAGAATGCTAGTGTTGAGTAGCAAGATAGTGGGGTGGAGAGTGAGGTCAAAACCAGCACATGGAAGACAGCAGCTGGCAGAAAGGAAAACTAGCAATATTCAGACCAGGAAGGCTGACTAAGTAGAGCACAGAGCAGGCACTGTGTCCTCTGAGGGCCCAATCCGTCTGGCCTGACCACCTCTGAACTTCTAACCTTTCTCCCAGCTCTGGCTCACTTCCTCTCTTAGAAATGTTTTCTTTCTTAATAAACTGTCTCTGCCTCTACCCCTGCTCTATGTGTCCCGTTCCAATTCTTTAAAAAAAAAATAACTCGGAAATTTTACATATGTTTACAGCAAAACATGATAGACATCTGTCCGATGCCTTGTGCTGGGACGTGGAAGGCCTCAGATAGGCACTGTACTCTGTATCTACCAGTAAGCTATAGCTACACAAACCACCACCTTTACGTTGTCTTATAGGGCCATTTAAGTGCCTTACAGTTCTCTATGCCTCCCCATACCCTCACTTGCTGGAATCCATCCCAGGACCTCCAGCATATTCAGCATGCACTCCATCACTGAGCAATATAACTGCAAGCCTCTATTTGTGTGTGTGTGAATGTGCACGCGCTACTTCCCCAATTCTGCTAGTCTAGAAGTCAGCTCCTTCTGGGGGATTTTTTCCTCCAGCTGCTGAATGCTGAGGTCATAGGTAAGCCACTATCTGGGCATTTATGAGTGCCGAGGATTTGAACCCCGATCATCATGCTTACGTGGCAAGCACTTCATACACTGAAACACCTCCTCAGCCCCAATCCTTTTCTTATTTTATTATTTATTTATTTATTTTTTCCGAGACAAGGTTTCTTGTGTAGCCTTGACTGTTCTGGAACTAGTTCTGCAAACCAAGCTGGCCTCAAACTCACTGAGATGGGCCTGCCTCTGCCTCCCATGTGCTGGGATTAAAGCTGCATGCCCCTGACCTCTTATTTTAACTATATGTATATGTGACTGTGTATAGGGTGTGTGTGTGGATTTGTGCTTGTGAGTACAGTACCCTTAAAGCCAGAGAATGGACTCCCTGGAGCTGGTTACAGGCAATTAGGAGCTGCTAGCTGTGAGTGTTGGGAGCTGACCTTGGTCTTCTGTAAGAATAGAGCATGCTCTTAATCACATCTCTCCAGCTTTAATTCTCTCTTTTTGAGACAGGATTTCTGTGTATAGCCTGAAACTCACTCTGCAGACCACAGAAGTCGGCCTCCCAAGTGCTGGGATCAAAGGCATGCACCACCACGGCCCAGCTCTATTATTTTTAAAATGTGTTTGTTAGATTCTTTTCCTTTTTTGTTTTGTTTTGTTTTTTGAGACAGGGTTTCTTTGTGTATCTTTGGTTGTCCTGGAACTCGCTTTGTAGACCAGGCTGGCCTCAAACTCACAAAGAACCACCTGCCTCTACCTCCCAAGTGCTGAAATTAAAGGCATGCACCAACCACCACTGCCCGGCAGTTTGTTTAAGTCAGAATTTCTTAAATTTGTAGTAATGGGGGAAGGCATTTGGACGTCAGAGGACAATATACTCTCCTTACACTAAGTGAGCTCCCTGAAGAGAACTCAGATTGTCAAGCTTAGTAACAATCACCTTACCCACTGGCCCCGATTCTCTGTCTAATAATTTGTATGCTTTTCTTTAAAACTGGGAGCATTCAAGGGACGGATGATGCATACCATCCGTATCTCAAACTTCTGCTTTAATCCATATAAAATAAAAACCCCGTTATCCCTCTCTTTTTGTGGCAGGACCGAAGACTCTAGGCACTCACCTCTACAAAAGAAAGACTGCCTACAACACAAGATCCTGGGATAGTTTCCAGAGACTAGGTCGCACGGAACATGGCCCCACCAAGATGGATTCTACAGTCTCTCCCTGGGTTTGGCCTTTGCAAAACTGGCAGCCTTTGTTTCTCTACCTTTGTCTCTGCCTGTGGCCCTCTTTGTTCTGCCTCCCGCCTCTTTCTCTCCTGGCTCTCCGCATCTTAGGGCGCAGGACTCCACTTGGGGGACTTGACGCCCCTTATCTGTTTCTACATCTCTTTGTCTCCGGTACCCAGTCTCTAGGTCCTGCTCGTCGTCTCTCGCCGACAGTGTCCCAACTCGTGGGCAAGGCCCTGGCAGGCTTGAGCTCTGCTGGGGTGCCGAGCCCCAGCCCAGCCCCCACCCCGAGCTGGGCTTTGTTTCCCCCGCCCCAGCGCCCCGCCCCGCCCGCCCGCCCGCCGGGTCGCCGTAGCCCTTTGTCTGCCCAGGTCTCTCCCACCCCATCCCCGAGCTCTTTCCCCGTTGTCCCGCGCGGGCAGCCGGGCCGCACCGCGCCCGTTAGACGAGCCGGGGAGGCCCGCCGCTA